AACATAGTCTGCACAATTCTAATAAGCTGAAGAGTGAATATTTGGTATGAGCACTGTTATTCTTTAACACACCCTGAACTCTCTTATGAAGCTTCCTGGAGGACATTTAAAACTCTTCTTTGGATGTTTCTGCCTTTTGTTTCACTCCTTTGTCAAGATGATTCTACACTTTCAATATCGTCGAGGTCAGTACTCTGGGGAGGCCAGTCCATGACCGATAGTGTTACATTGTGTTTTTCTGTTCAGGTATGCTTTGCATATGCATTGGCAGGGTGTTTGGAATCATTGTCATTGCTGTAAAATGTAACTGTTGTCAATCAGATGCATTGCAGATGATACTGCATTGTGGATAAAAATCTAATGTTACATTTCTGTGTTCATAATTTGATCTCCCCAACACCACTGACTAAAATGAAGCCCAAACCATGAGTGTCTCCACTGTGTTTTACAGATGACTGTAGACACTCACAGCTGGAAGTCTCACCTGACCGCATTCCTTCTTATTTTCAGTCCAGTTCTTGTGTAATTTGGCCTGTTGCTCAAGAGCAACAAAGCCCGATATCTTGGAAGCAAAACATAAAGAAACTAGTGGTGGCTCAAGACGTATGCACAGTATTGTAGATGATAGTTAGGAAGATTTTTTTTTTTAATGACACAGCAGCATTTAGTTGTTGTAAAGCTTGCGTACACTGGAAGCAATTCTCTCCACTTATCGTTTTGAAGCGTAGGCTGGTTATTTGCAGACATTCCAGGCTCCAGTTGCCTAGGTAACCCCCTAATGTATTTACTACCAAGTCATATGTCAGTCATTGGTATCCAGCACTATCCAGAAAAATGGATCTTAGGTCCCGCCCACTTGGCTTCATTGTCGGTAATTTTGCCCTCAGTCACAAAATAACCACCGGTGATGGTAGCACAGCGACGTAGCAAGTGAATGACTTACTACGTCACCGTGAATCACTTCCAGTGTGGATGCAGCCTGATGGTTATACGTATATTTTATTTATATCTGTAATTTATATTTTATATTGTGATTTTTATCTGTATCATGATTTTACTGGAAAGCACTTTGGTGTACTTCGGATGCCTTTTCTCAAAAATAAGCATTGTAAAACCTCAAAAAGAAACTTTACCTGCCTCTGAAAGGTCAATAAAGGATTAATAATCAATTTATTAGTATGACAGTGGCTATTTAGACACTCCAAGTAGACCTGCAGTTTAAAATTAAGTATAGTATGGGGAAATTTGTGATTTGGGCCAAAAATGTTACCAACTGTTGTGAGGTCTTGAAATATGAACAGTATATAAAGATTAAATATGCCAAATTTTGTGAAAAGGGATCTGTCACAATGTTAAACCTGAAGGAAATCACCTGAATCACCAACTTAGCTTAACTTCATCGAGCCTTACGACTAATTTCAGATTTGTTTTGGTTCATTCTGGTAATTCTCACAGTATCGTTCAGCAGACAGTGAATTTTCAGTCAGACTGGTGACAAATAGAAAACAGTCACAGCTGGTGAAACGTCTTGTGGCATGTAGTTATAAGAGATCAAAAATGTGCAATAAGACATTAATGGTGTTCATTGTTTACTGGATGTGTAAACAACTGCTTGCTTGTCGCACATTAGTTTCCACTGTTTTTGTTCCCTCTCTAAGGATGTTGCACAATGGTGGGTGAGTTTTATAAAAGGTATCAAACACACATCCTTTAGAGTTTTGAAATGGAAAGAGGAGCCACGGCATCCGGCAGTGATCTCACCTGAATATTGCCTCATTGGCACAACTGTCTCCTCGGCATCCCATTAGGAGACACGTTGGGTTGTATGTGTGTGTGTTTGTGTGCATGTGTCTGAGCACGCGCATGTGTGAATGGATGGACTTCATGAATGAAAGCTGGGGGTTTTTTTTGTTTTTTTTCCCGAGCTGCAGACAGGAGGTGAGATCATCTTGTTGGGATGGAGACTCCCCCCACCCACTTGCAACACCCTCCCATCGCACATCAATGCCGGTTGGTGCCAATCTTAATGAATCCCATCGACATACAATATGGATGAAGCAAACAGTACTGACAACCTGATTAATGAAAGTGCTGTCCAATATCAGCCTCCCCCAACAAACGGGAAGAAGTCACTCCGCAGTGCACATTGGCACAGGTGCACAAAAATGCAGACACACATCTTTCTTCAGTCATTAGAAAACTCCAAAAATGTCTGCCGCTCTGCTGTTGGCTTCCAGTCAACACGATGATGAAGCAAAGTAAAAATCATCTTTGCTTCTTATGTTCAACTTTGCCTTCAGCAGCAGAGTTGAGTGAGCTTTAATGATGAGCCACCTATTCAGCTACGTGTGAGTGAAAGTGACAATGAGTAACACAAGGGCCTCTCGATGAGGATCCATAAATAGCCTTTCAAGTAAGCCAGAAGCAACCCTCCCCCTCATTCTCTAGTCTACATCCCGCCACACACACACACGTATACCCTACCACCTTCCTCCTAACCGGACTTGGACAATCTGTGTCCACTTGGCACGAGGCCTCAAAAAACATACTGTATATTCAGCAGCAGAGCCGTGCATGCGCACGTGCACACACATGACATTCCTCTTGACATTCTTCACTGCAGGAGTCTCTTAATTCCCTCCTACAGATTATGATACATGTTGCCAAACAATGCTGCATTTTTACATCAGCTTTTTGGATGGACGCCACAGTACCTCTGTAGTCCAACTGCTCTTTAGAAGTTTGATTTTCGTTTTAATATATATATGCAGAAAGAGTTTATGTTCTGGAGGTGTAATTTGCCAGGCAATCTGAATTCCAAATCTATTGTGTAATTATTTTAAAAGTAAATGGGATCCCCATCGAGTATCGTTCTTAAAAGCTGTCACTGTGCAGGCTGACGGCTTGTATCTAAAACACGCGATACCCTTCAGCGTTACTTCTGTTCTTGTTTCTGGTGGAGTTACCTCAACAGGAGCTGAAGCTGCGTTGGTGGACATCAGAGGCAGCAGCGTTAATCCTTAGAGGCCTGAACATCACTGACGAGAGGCCTTCCTGCAACTACAAGGTCCACTGAATAAATCATGAAGAAAGTTTTAACGCAAAAAGATTGAAATAGAGGAAAAAAACAGAGTGTGCTTCTCTATTCAGACCGCCTTAAGACACAGTGAGAAGAGGATTGTAGATGGGGATGGCATAAAATAGCAAGACTGATTAAAGCTACTGAGTTTTCCTTGCAAAGCCCACAGTTTCTCCTTCATGTGATATTAAAACCCAAATGAAACATTCATAAACTACTTTTTGGCAAGGGTGTTTTGAATGTTCATTTGGGAGAGTAAGCTATGAGATAATGCTCCTTCACATTTGAAAATGAAAAGCATTAAAAATTACTATCAAAATAAAGTAATTAAATATTTAGAAGTACTGAAAAGGATAATTTAGTCTCTCAAAGAGTCTGACTGTGTTAGTTATTAAATTGTTAATAGGCCCAGTATTAGTTTGCTATTGCTCTTGGTCCCCTTTGATGGACAGAATTATAAAAGAACTCTTGTTTTCAGTCTACTTCTTTATTACAAATCTTATTTCAAGCTTTAAAAAAAATGAAAACGTGTCTTGTTTTCACTTGGCGAGGATTCGGGTAGCACAGAATGACTCAAAGATGAATAAATGAAAACAGAAGCAATCAGTTTCTCCTTGCTCAGATTTCACGAGGGGCATCAAACTGAGCCGGCACAGTGATCTTTTTTTCATCGTGACTTCATACAGCATTCATTAGTAGGAGGAGAAAGTGGAGAATACTCGTGTTTGTGAGTGGTTTTCAGGTCTCTCCGTGGATTGTCTATGCGCTAGCTAGGATTTCCCTACTGTGTACAAGCGGCACAATGAGGTCATCGTTATGGATTTAAGCCCAGCACGGGCTTAATCTGGGAGATAAGGGCTGGATTTGGATTTACCACTCAAAAGGGTCATGTAGCTACAACCATTTACACTCTCAGTAAAGACAAAGCTCACCCACAGCATCCTCAGCTGTTTCACGGCCCTTTATGCTTTTTAGCTGGAGGTTCTCCACTGTTTACACAAATTATTCATCTTGCAGCATTTCTCTAAATGTCGGCAGTTTTAAGTTGTAATGTTGTTGTTCAGTGTCAATATTCCCATGAAATGGCTTGACAAAATCCTGAAACATCCTGGGAAAAAATGGATTGGATATGGTTAAAATGTTGCAAGTGTTACTTCTTTATTTTTGGTACTGTTAAAAACAAAAAGTCTGAAAATCCGATCTGATTGCAAGTTTAAAGGAAGCCCTCTGAACAATAGGTAGCGGAGACACTCTGTTTTTGTGAAATAATATAAAAAGTTTGTCCTCATCAGAGTTTCTCCTTTCTGTACTTTTAATAGTCTAGTTTTGTTTAAAATGTATTTGCATTTGTTGCATCCTGGATCTTGTTTGTATGATATTTGGGGAGTTGGAGAACCATGTGTGCCCTGTACGCTGCAAGGCCTTGAAAATACCTTGAATAATAACTTTATTTAAGGTGAAGGCAGTTATCTGCTGGTGGCGTGGTTCCTCAAACAGAGCTGAGCTTTGTGTTAGAAAAAATGACAGTTGTTTAAATTAGTTTGATATTTTATTTCATTCAGGTTAATTATGGTCGCTTAGGGAAACAAATGACGCTGGGGGACAGTCCCATTTAGGTTCTGCATGTGCTGTCCTGTCTCACAGAAATGGGTCAGGAGAGATTGGAGATGATGATGATATAATATTTTTTTTTTTTAAACAAACAAAAAAAACGTCCTTCCTTCGTGTCCCTTTTGTGGCAGACGGAGTCTGCAGATTATCCATCAATTACTCTGCGCTCTGTTCAGAGGGCGTTAATAGGTTTTGAGGGGATTTAAATGGTGCTGTCCAGTCAAATGCTGCATGCTTTGAGAATGACATCATTTTGGTCACCTCACATGCCGGCTGACCCTCCTCCCTGCTCTAAGAGTAGCCTCACTCGAGCCCGTGTACCTGCGGTTGTCCCGTCTCTCACCGGACTGCACTCGTCACTCCAGATTTCTCCTCTGATAGGAGGGCATCAGCGCTCCCTCCCTCCCACACAGCCTCGCTTCGCTCTCTCCATCGCTCGTGTTTACTACAGCCTGGGAGAGACGGTCGTATAAATTGCCTGGGAGTGCGCATATCGCAGCATCCTCAGAGGGGAATTGAAAAGGGGGAGGAGGTGTAGGATCAAGAAAACAACCCAAACAAGGAAAAATATCTGCGTTTTCTATCGTTTCAAATTAACGCAGGAGAAAAACAGACCTCCACAGAGCCCTGCGATTGGAAACCCGCGCTGGATGTAGAGAAGGCTGAGCGCGGATGCTCGATACACGGACAGGAGGACAAGGGAGAAAATCAGAAAGGACCAATAAATCCTAGAGAGGAATAATCTTTTGCAGTCATCAGCGATGGACTCCAGTTATCGGCATTGAGGTAGGAATCGTCAAATTGGCTTCTTCCAGTCGAGTTGTTAGGCAGGTAAGCATGAGGAGAAGCGGGTGGTCTTTGCATAAAATAACACGTTACTTCTTTTATTTTTTCCCCCCAATTTAAAGTGCCATCGTGCGTTTGAGTGTAACTTCAGTGCTGTCAGTGATGCTCCACTGGCGCTCCGGGTCGTAACCGCAGGAGGTGCCAGGAGAGGCAATGATGCGCCTCCGATACATCCACAATGCGCTGGCCTGTAACAGACCGTAGCTGCTCCTGCGGCTCCCGCAGCTGACACCTCGAAATAAAGAAAGTGAGAAACGGAGCAGGACTATTAGGAGGCAGGATCAGTCGGATGTGACTGATGTGTACACCAGATGTGTCTTAGTGGTTGAGTTTCTCTTAGTGCATCACATAATAATGAGGGTGGTTTTTCCAGACTTGGGGGTTTGTTGTTAGTTTCTTGGATAATGAAATCTCCAGGCTGACTCTGCCTTGTTTCAGAGTCTCTGATTAATCTGAGGACAGGGAATTATGGATGTTTATATGCATCTTGGGTAAGTCGGCTAATAGCTCATTCATCAGACATCAGCACTTTACTTCTAGTGGGAGTGTCACAGTGGGATGGTTGATGTAGTCTAATGGTAATTCACTCAATTTCCCTCAAATTGACCTCCAAATTGACTGATGTAGAAATGCATGAAGTGCATCTCATAATGACTGAAATGGAAATTGATGAGCTCCAAGTTCGGGGTTTTAACAAAAGTATCCTGTTTTCTTATTGTGCAAGTTTATTGTCCCATCTACTCCAAAACTGTGCTCTGCATTGCTGTGACTGTTCCTCATATTCTGCTGGTTCTTTATCAAGAACTTGAACATGATGATGATAGTACTACGAACATTTTGACTTGTGTTCTTGTTTTACCGAGCATGTAAATCCTGTTGTTGCTTGTCCATCAAAGGAGTGGTTTACTTCAAGAGGCTCTGGTGAGAAATAATGCATTTTTCTTCTCCATTGAGTGTGCAGATGCTGCTGCCCTTGGAAAAATGTACAGCTTTCACGAACCCTGCAGAATTTGCTCATTATTTTGTAATCTTATCCATTTTAATGTCACTCGAGTAAGATGTGAATAAACAGCTGTCTCACCATTAGGACTACAGAGCAGCAGTGAGTTAATCCTGCCGAACTAAAAGCAATGCAACGCTAAGCATGTAATACTCTGTATCAGTGTGATACCTAACAGTGTCAGTTTATTCTAAGAACGGGGGGTTGGTCTCTTTATTTTCTGTGCCCTCCACTTAAGGCTTAGCTATTATGCTGCAGACAGGATGTTCTTTTATCTCATAACCATTTTTCACATTTTAGTGTTTTATATCTACCGACTGGCATCTACCCAGTTGATGTCAGTCTCCCGACTACAGGGTACATGTGGACTGACACCTGTCACCTCCACTTGTACTAGCCAAATTATGAGAGAGCTTGTTTTCTGTGTTTGTAAGAAATGCAGAAAACGATTATTGTCTGTGGATTTTTGTATCTATATATTTTTATTCTGATCTTGAACTCCATCTTTTCCTTTGGTATCTGTGGAGGAAGTCAAAACCTTTAAAATGCAGTTTGGTGATATTGATGAGAGGCTCAGGAAGATGTGCTTTGTCTGCCTATCAGACTTAGACTACAGACTTGTGTTGCACATATGACGTCATAGTAGCCAAAGCTTCTTTTTTTTCTTTTACTTAAAATGGAGCTAAAGATGACTACGCTCTCCTGCAAAATCAGCCACTACTGACAACTTTCAGAAAGAGTTCATTTAATCTTGATTTCACTCATATTATTTTATTTAAATTCCCTTCTTTCCCTCTTTTCCAGTTTTCTTCAGTTATTCTGATGACCACAGTCACTCATGGCCCTCATGCATGAACCTCGCGCCCCATCGCCCTCTCTTTCCGGCTTCAACACACCCCTCTCCGATCCTCCGTCTTTTCGCCGCCTCGATGCCGAAACACCCTGCACGCCAGAAATGGACTTGACCCCAACCCAGTGCGTTCTTCGCAACGTCCTCTCCATAGACACCGGAGGTGCTGTGGAACCCGGGGGTGGAGGAAGAGAGGGGCACACTACTGGACACAACCAGACACCCTGCGAGGAACAACAGGAGCACTTTGCCAACAGTGTCCTGAAACTCCATGAACACGATGGCGGTCCTGGAAGGACGGAGGGAGAGGGACCGGATATGGACAGCAGTGCGGTCAGGAGCCAGGCGAATGACGCCAGGTTACAGTGCCAGTCTACAGGAGGGGGAGGAGGGTTTTTGGAGGGGTTGTTTGGGTGTCTGCGGCCTGTCTGGACAATGATCGGCAAAGCCTACTCCACAGAGCACAAGCATGACCTGGACGGTGAGTCGAACCATCAGATTTATTTCAGTGTAAATGACTGAACACAAATATGCCTGAATTCTCACTTTTGCTTTTGCAATAAAAAAACAACCCCTAGCTCTCAATTAAATTTAATGATAAGCTTTGATATGCTAATTAATTGATCTTATCCCCCAGTTTAATTACATTAAACAGACAGTAGGTAAATGACTCCCGCAAAGGCCACGTTGTAAACAAACCCCTTCCTGACATGAACGAGCTGCAGCCAGCGAGGGAGACTCTATCAGAGCTGTAAAGGGCTTATTTTCCCCTGATATTTCCCCCCCATCCTTTTTCCTGCTCGTGCCCACCACCCACTACCACCCCCACAGTGAAACTAGCTCCCTGTGACGCTGTGTTGTTTATGTGTGCAGCCACTACAATAGCGCAGGGCTCCCCTGAGACCCCTCTGCCAAATCTGCCTCATGAATTATGCATGGCCATGCTCTGACCCTGCGCCTCTCATCTCTATTAACACAAACCTGACACACGCATGAGGATGAACGCGTGCACACATAAACACGTCCGCAAATAGAAACATTTCATATCTGCCGCTGACATAAACGCATAAAGTCATATAAGGTGCCAAAAACAAAAGTTGATGAAATAAATAGAGCATCAGACATCAGGCACCAAGGTGGCAGCTTTACACTTCTCCTCATCTTTATTGCCTTCTGATGTTTTATCATCCATTTGACTTCCACGTATCCCCTCTCCTCCCCTCCTTTTTCCATCCCTCATTGTCTCCCTTCCTCTCCTTTTCATCCCGTGCTGTTATCACTCCCAGCCCATCTGCACCTCGCTGTTCCCCTCCTCTCTGCGCCATCACGGGGAGTCTCACGCACACCAATAAGAGCAAAACGGATATTATAAAAGTGAAATAAATGGGCCTTTTGTAACCAAATCCTCAGCCACTATATAACAACACCGACTCTTTTTTTCAGTATTGACTGGAACTAACAATATATATCTGTAAAAAGCTGGTCCTCTATTGATTCTGAAGGACTGAAGGTATCTGGTAATGCGCTAAATTGTCCCCTCTTTTTTGTTTCAAATGAAACAAAGACACACGGAGATTCTGGTTTATCAGATGTGGCTTCATGTCTTTACTGAGGAAAATTTGAGGGGCTCATTAGAGACTGAGCCCACAATCAATCACCGGCATTAATCATTCATTTCATCCTTATTAATATGATAAATGTGTCTGAAGCTTCTTTCCCCGGGTTAAAAACAGCAGCAGGGTAGGCTGTCTATCTTCTCTCTATTAACAGTCTGTCTTCAGCCACATGGACCCCTGCTGACCGGTGGGGAATCCCCCTCCCATCTTTTCTCTTTGCACACACACACACACACACGAGTGCTATCCAACCACCTCCCGTTCACCATACATCCACATTCAGACTCTGAAATTCCCTCCCTCTTCCAGCCCCCTCCCGAGCGCTGGACCCCTGTTTTGCGTCAGCCCCACAATGGCACTAAGGAGGATTTAAGAGGCTGAGAGAGAATTAACCGCAGGAGATTAGAGCTTTATGTCTGTCTGCCTGCACACCCCAGGCTTAGGTTAAGGTGAGGTTCAACAGCAGAACAAGATATCAACTGGGGATTCCGTTTTGAGATTTTACTCTAACGGGTTTAGCCTTTCGTTGCAGCACGCCAGCGACTGTAATGATGCTGGATGTTTCACGTGTTAGCAGGTTTGGGTTTATACTCGGTCTTTTTGGTGTTTTATGTTTGCTGTACTTACACACAGCAGTGTAAACACTGATGTTTAGCAAATGTCATGTTTACCACATATATCGCTTAGTAAGGATGCTAAAAACACACAAACCAGACAAAAAGTGGGGGGATCCCCAGTGTTTCGAGGATGTGTCACCTTGAAGACTTGTAGCAATGTCTCAGCGACCCACTTTGAACCACAAAGAGAAGTTGTCAGGGAATCATTAAGGTCCCTATTACTCATTCATTAGAGAGAATACATATCAGTTTAAAAGCTGCTGAGATTTTAAAGTATATTAGACAAACGACACAAGGGGCCTAATCTGTGTCACATCAAATGTCCCATAGTCTGGTAGCCAGGCTGACTTTTCAACATCACCAAACAAAGACCTGCAGCTACTTTCAAGCATCATTTTGCAGCAGAGTTTCATCATTCAGCATGACAAAACATGTCAGTAGACATTAGTGAAACCATTCCTTTCTTCTATATGCGCTTTTTTTTTCTGGCTTCAGAGGAGTGGGAAGTCCCATTCGAGGAGATATCGGACCTGCAGTGGGTGGGCAGCGGAGCCCAGGGCGCCGTCTTCCTCGGTAGATTGCACGGCCAGGAAGTGGCTGTGAAGAAAGTGCGGAACATCAAAGAGACAGACATCAAGCACCTGCGGAAGCTCAAACATCCCAACATCATCACCTTCAAGTAAGCAGATGTGATCACTTGGCTTAGGTGGAAATAGAGAGGCTATCAATAATGGTTTCAGTCATTTTGAATAGGAAGAATGTTCTTTGATGGAATAAGATGAACATTTGGGCACTTAAGCTTTCATTTGTCTACATTTGTAACGGCAAACATTGCAAATTCAAACATAACCTTTCTTTACTCTGTCAGAGGTATCTGTACCCAGGCTCCTTGTTATTGTATCATCATGGAGTACTGCGCCCAGGGACAGCTGTACGAGGTGCTGAGAGCAGGGAGGAAGATCACGCCATCCCTGCTCATGGACTGGGCCATGGGCATCGCTGGAGGCATGAACTATCTTCACCTCCACAAAATCATCCACAGAGACCTCAAATCACCCAAGTGAGCTTTTTCTTTTTCTTTTTCTTTTTATATATACATCTAAGTTTAATTTTTTTTAATTTACGTTTTAGTGCATTATAGAAACAGTGGAAGGGTGAAGAAGCAATGAAAGAGATGCAGTGACTTCTAGATTAAAAGAAAAATAACAGAAGTGGGTCTTTCTCCATTCTGTTTGTTTTAAATAACCCACAAATGTTAATGCTTTACCCTTTGAAAACCTACTAGGAGAGGTTTTTGTCATATTTCAGACTTCTTATAAATCAAAATACTGGGTTTGCATCAAAAGTTAGTGAGGCTGGTCTCTGCCTTGCAGCTACCCTTGGAAAAGCCCAGAAAGTATTCTAATGGTTGTTAAATGTCTTTAATGCTGTATAAGAGTACAAGGAGCTGGTCACATGTTGTCTTTGTGGGGGAAAAAGTTCAGATTTGTGATGCTTATATCCCAAACCACAGCTTCAGAACCACTACTTTAGTTAATTGCAATTAACAGCTATGATCATTTGTATGATTTGTGAGGAAATTAATGTAAAAGTCCCCAAATGCCTCACCACTGGTCAGGGTTTGACAAAACATGAAGTGCTAATGTGTTTTATTACTGACTGTTTAAACCTGATGGATGGGATGTTTCATTCCAGCATACTGATCACCTATGACGATGCAGTGAAGATCTCTGACTTTGGCACATCTAAGGAGCTCAATGACAAGAGCACTAAGATGTCCTTTGCTGGCACTGTAGCCTGGATGGCCCCCGAGGTCATACGTAATGAACCGGTCTCGGAGAAGGTGGATATTTGGTGAGTGTCATAACTCCTCTGAACTGTCCCTTTGCATTATTGAAATTTTACCATAAGAGTTTTCTTATCTGTCACCAAATCAACACAGAATCTCATTAGTTGCCATCTACTACGGTGCAGAGTGAAGGATCCTGTTCCCAGCCAATCTTTTCAGCATTACAATATCTCATTACATGAAATTCTATAGGGTCTCTGCTATTTCTGATGGGTTGCCCTCTTATGAGCACTGATTTATTTTTTCCCCCCTCCACACTCTCTGCCTCTCTTTTTCTCCTATACTGTATTCCTCCACCAGTCTTCCTCTGTGTCCTGAAAGAAACGCTAGCTAATTTAATAATTGATTTGCCAGATGCTGCAGTGCTCAGGAGAGGCTGGAATAACCTTCCGAGCCTATGGATGCTTTGGCCCAGAGCCAGCAGTGCATTAGCAGAGAAGTGAAAATAGGATTAAAAAGCTTTTGATGTAGAAGCAAAGCAAAACATGGGTGTGTACTGCACAGTTTTGTTTAAATATATGTAAATCGCTTAGCAGTACTGTTTCTGACAGGAGTGCCGGAGGAGGAGAGGCTGTTGTTAAGGATTTACATGTGTTGTACATATTTGATTTAGTTATGACATACATTTCCTGAATGTTTTTAACGTTCTTCACGAGTCGAGAGAAAAAGACTTCCACAAATAATTTCTAAGCCAAGGGGAAAATACATGCAGTGCCTTGGGATCATCAGTACATATTCTCCTTTAATATAAAAAATCGTGAACATGGAGATGGAAGGACTCATTTTGAAACACAACATCATAAACCAACCTAACCTTATGTTAAGGTGCTGTTGGCACCTTGGATATTGTACACGGTCTCCATCGCAACCCAGAGAATCACCAGCAACAGACTTTCCTTAGTTACCGTCCCCACGGGTGCGCTCTCTTCTTCTTCTAGTGCTAAACTGAAACAGTGAAGCGTAATGGAACAAGTGTTATTATGGCTCTTATCGGCTGTATTTCTTGAATCGTTAAAATGATTAGCGAACATTGTTTCTTCCAGAATTAATTAAAATATCCCATAAAACATTAGAAAAATTAGAGCTGGTTCACATGATCCACAACTTCCTACATAATCCTTATTTATAAGCCAGAGTTGAAATGGTAATGTTGAGGACTGCCACTTTTAATGACATCATAGATGACATAGGAGCAGAAAAAACATCAATACTCTGTCATTTCTTTAAAAGTAGTCGTCAGAAACGTTTCTCCAGATGTCTTGAATGTCATTCAAAGCTCTTCTTTCTGCCTTTTTCTGCCTTTCTATGCTGTATTTTTTTTATTTATGACAGAATCTTTCAATAAATCTCTTTCAATAAATTCCCATTTTCCTTCCTCCTGCTGCTTGCTAGATATTTTATCTTTCATGGCCAGTTCTCTTCAAACCTTAGAGCCGATTGTGTGAGAAAATCCAGTAGATCTGCAGCTTCTGAAATCTATGAGTACTTCCCTAAATGCACCGAGTTTCTTCCATGTGATTGGCTGGTTATATATTCAGTATATAAGGGGAATTATAGGTTCGCTTTAAGTTTAAGTCATCAAAGACTCCCTATAAGGCACTGGAGCTTTTGCTTGTGGTATCCATCAGAAACAGCTGCTGGAATAGCTCAGAAAGCAAGATTTCCTTCTCACAGGAAGTTAAAAGTGTGACATTTCTGTGAGGCTGCCTTTTATCTGCCAACTTCACATCTTTATCCAAATGTCTGGAGGAAAGAAACATGGCTCGTATCTCTGCAGGTCATTTGGTGTTGTGCTGTGGGAGATGTTGACAGGAGAGGTGCCGTACAAGGATGTGGACTCCTCCGCTATCATCTGGGGAGTGGGCAACAACAGTCTGCAGCTGCCCGTGCCCGACAGCTGTCCAGAGAGCTTCAAACTGCTGCTGAGGCAATGCTGGTGAGCAGACGTGAAGGGAGACGAAATTGGAGGGAAGAAAAAAGATAAAATCGTTGAGAGGAAAGATGCTTTAAGAAGGTGGAAAGAATAAATGTCACACACAGAGGGGGACGCTAATAAAGCCATGATTTAAACTGTTCACAGGAACTGCAAGCCCAGAAATAGACCTTCGTTTCGACAGATTCTCCTGCATCTGGACATTGCCTCAGCGGATATATTGTCAACCCCACAAGAAACTTACTTTAAGTCTCAGGTAAGCTTCTTTTGCCCTTTTTATAGTTTCATTATTCTCTTCAGACAATCTGACCTGAATGGAAGATGCTCACATGCTTTCTTACGTTTCTTTTTAGCTTCTCTCTCTTCTCTCTCTGTGCACTCACAGGTGTATTGTTATAAGATTGACCCAAGGAAATATGAACCAGACCACAGAGACGGGCCTTTTTGTTAAGCATTATTTTTCAGAGCCAGTTTACACAACGTTGGGGTCACCCAGTAAAATTCAGACCTTGTAGCTTATTTTTAAACCAAATAAATATTGAGAATATGAGCTCTGTATGTCTGTTCGAACATCAGCCAGCATCACTAACAGTCATTTGTGGCATTTGTTCCCATTGTGCTGCGTAACTACAGCCAGAGCAGGCAGCTGCACACATGGGAGCACTAATAATACCTGTCCTCTCATTCACAACATATTATTGTGAGTTCCTCAGTCTCTGACCGTAGATCAGGACTCGCATGTAACAGGGAATAAAGAAAACATTTTACTGTCTTCGTGATATCACAGTGTAATTCAGTAGCACCGGGTGTCTGCCTCTGAGTGCGCGTGGAGACGCAAGGATACGACAAACATATTCGACCTCTGCAAACGAAACTGGATGAAGGAGAATCACAGATGTATAATTGTGTGGAAGATATGTTGTTGCTCAGCCATGCGGATCCATTTATAACTCAAGCATGTATAATTATGAGACACGCTTGTGCACACAGACTCACAAAATAAATAAGATTTTCTGTCCCTTTTTAGAGTAATCCACTGCTTCTCCCTCTGGTTATATCTCATGGTGCAAAACATAAACCTCTTTCATTTTCTCCACTTATCCTTGATCCTTTATTTCTCCCTGTCCCCCTTCCCCCCCCTGCAGCCCTCTGCAGTTTCTCCCCTCTCTGCCCCATAATGGATTTTTCTTGTGACGTTAGAAAGAAGTATTTGCTGCTGGAGTGTATTGATTGGTTTAATGGTAGGGAGCTGAGAGCAAGGAGAGAGAGGAGAAAGAGGGGGACTGGAGACAGGAGACTGCAGAGAGTCCATTAGCTTAATAAGAAGAGCATCCTTTATGCACAGATATACACACACATGCACGTGCATGTACACACACACACTCATAAATCTGACTTCCCTTGTCCTTTGATATGACAGGTATCAGATAACAGCTGTCATCCTGCACTGTGTACAAAAAAAAAGTGTGTACTGCATTTTTTTGTGGTTGGGGTTTTTTGCCTTTCATGTCAATTCTTGTTCAGTTTTGCTCCATCAGTACTGATTATCATCTGATAGCCTAATGGATTTTGTCTCAGTGATATATACACGAGTCGCTGTGCAAATTATGAGGGTTTTTTGGTAGAAGATCAAGGTTGGGTTTACTCATAGCATTGAAATCATTTTTCATTAAGCTCATTTTCATGACTCATAAACTTGAGTCATATAAATTATCTCAGTGACAAACAGGAACTGTTTCATCTTCCAAGTGTGCAAATCTAATAAATGCAACAGTTAAAAAAACAGAAAGAAAGGAAAAAAATGTGAATGTGCAATGAAGCATGTTTGATCACCCCACTGTTCTACTACAGGCTGCTGACCTCTGGTGACTTTATTAATAAAGGTGGCTCTGGGTTTTTGAATGTCTGTACATGCATGTATATTTTAAATTTAATAGCAAGTGCAGCATTTTATCAGGTTGACAAGGATGTTTTTCTACCTGATGTTATAAACTGTTCATTTGCACTTGCACTCGTTCTGATGGATATGTGGTGTTTTGTGTGTTCTGCCAGGCGGAGTGGAGAGATGAGGTGAGACATCATTTTGAGAAGATTAAGTCCGAGGGCACGTGTCTTCACCGGCTGGACGAGGAGCTGATAAAACGGCGCAGGGAAGAACTGAGGTAAGATATACCTCAGTAAGATTGATATTATCATCTGTATTAGTTTATATTTGGCAGTGTAGCTCTGGGCTTCAACTTCACCGTTTTTCGTGTAAACACATGGAAAGCTGGAGGCAGACAGAGCAGTAGGAACTGAACAGAGTGAACTTTACTGACTGCAGATATGCCTTTAATTCAGAAACAACAGGAAAAGCAAGAGCTGGGGTACAGGTGGGTTGTAAAGTGGCTTGCAGATGCTTAACAAGTGAGAATACACCCTCTATGATATTTGCCAACTGAATGTGGAGACGGGTATTAGCTGATTTGGGACTGTGGCTGAACTAATGCTATAGTGGATTTATGTGAACATCACAGCCTGTATTAAAGTGGAAGTGATATTGAAAGCAGCAAAGGTTGATTAATGGAAAACAGAATGTAAATCCAAAATGTAGAGCAAATAATCAGTTTCTATATACTAGGTGTAGTAGGTAAGTATCAGTATTGCCTATTTATAGCCTTCCCCTACTTTCTTCCCCTCGCAGACATGCACTGGACATCCGAGAACACTACGAGAGGAAGCTGGAGAGAGCCAATAACCTCTACATGGAACTGAATGCTATCATGCTGCAGCTGGAGATCAAAGAGAAGGAGCTGCTTAAGTATGAAGACAAACTTAAATTTTTCTTTTTGCAGACTACAGGGTGTATCAGAAAAAATCCTCTGATGTCAAAACGCCATATTTTTTAAAGTAGAGGGCACAGACTGAATATAAAGTAATTATATATAAAGAAATTGATGGCTTCACTTATTAAAATACCCTAAAAGCTTTTTAATACATCAGCATCGGTGAAGTAAATAAAAGACGGAAAAGTGAATCTGAAATGTGACATAAGTGGCCATTACATATATAGTCATACGAGGCTATTGCATGTCATAGGCCGCTCTCTTATGCTCAGTGACATCCATTAAAGGGGTATTGACTTTGTGTTTAAACATTAGGAGGGAGCAGTCACTGGACAAGAAGTACCCAGGCTGCTTCAAGCACCACAGTACCAGACAGTCAGCCTCCTCCAATTCCATGGAGAAGCTCATGAAGAAACGTAATGTACCTCAGAAACTGCCCTCACACAGCAAGAGGTGAGGCGACAAGGAAGATGTCTCGTCCTGTAGTTTATATAGCAATAATTTGCTAATAACATTCGTCTGTGTTTGTCCTTTCCAGGCCAGACTTACTAAAGTCAGAGGTCATCCTCCCTAAGCTGGACTCATCCATGACCCAGGTCACAATCCCCAACAAGGGCTCTACCTCCCCCGGTCGCTCACGCCGAGGAAAACCTCGCTACAGAAAGGCTGGAAAAGGCAGCAGTGGCGACCTGGCTCAGCTGAAAGCCACTCTGTCCTCGTCTTTAGCAATGATCAATGCAACCTCGTCTGTTCCCAGCAAGCACCGTCTAGACCCCAGCGCAGCCCTCAGGGGCTTACAGCATGACCTTCTACTCAAAAAGATGTCCTCCTCCAGCCCCGATCTTATTTCTACCACTCTGGAGGTCGAGGGCAGGAGGAAAGGCCAGGTGAGATCAGGGCTGGACAGAGCGGGCAGTCAGAGCGCCTCAGCTGGGCTGGAAGAGAGCAGAAGGACTGATGGGCCAGAGCGGGGCCCTGACGTGGGTGTAGGCGGGGATGACTTGGCAGAAACGCCTCCACGCAGTGATACACCGAGCGAAGACGCGGCATCTATTCCTTTTTCCAGTAGCCCTGACTCCCCTTGTGGCAGAGGAGCAGCGGCGGGCAGGGCGTCCGCACTCGGGAACACTCGTGTCACCCACGAAGGTGAGGAGAAGGAGGAAGGGACGGTGATTACACGCTCGCCCAGAAGTCAACGGCTTACGCCTTCAGCACTGCTCTACAGGGCAGCAGTCACACGCAGTCAGGTGAGAATTTAATACAGCTTGTATGTCAACATATTTCTGTCTGAAGCTCGGAGCCATAAATCTCAACCTAAATAGCACAGACGTACACCAACATATATCAGTATTTCTGTCCATATTTTATCAAAGGGCTCTTTAATCTATTCAGAATTATAATTATAGGAGTTCACCTTTCGCGGTCTTGCTGTTTTCGCTGATTTTTTTTTTCTTGTGCACTTTTGGATGCTTTTTTTTTACAGCGCATTGTATTCTGCATCCCGATTGGCTGTAGACCATTGTCAATCTCGTGCCATGCCTCCTGTACAGGATGCGTTCAGCTTGTCAAATTTACATAAATCTTTGCTTGCTAGCAGTGTGACTCTGAAGTGCTGCACTGTATGTTTGTAAGTTTTCTTCCCAACGAACACAACAATCTCAACAAGAGAGAAAAGTGTGAAAATGTTTATGCCTGTCTGAGAAAAGTTTATAAAGTGTGTCGTGAGGGGTTTTACAGCCTTAAAACATCTATAATTGTAAAAATATAAAGTTGGCTACTTCGTGGATTTCACTTATCGCGTGTTATTTTAAGAACGTAACTCCCACGATAAACAAGGGACCACTGTGTAGTATTTTCTGATTTACTGAGTGATGAAAAGAGATGCGTTTGAATACCGAAAACTTGAATTTATGTACATGAACACTACATCAGGAAAAAACTTGAGGTTTCACATTAATATCTGTTGGTTTAAATTTCTTCTCTATTCAGCTACAGTGTCTCCCCTTACTTTGCTCAATATACAGTCACCGGACACTTTATTAGGTACCTCTTTCTAGTCTTGGATTAGGTTTCTTTGTCCTTTGCAATACATTCAATAATGTGTTGTAAACACTGATCAGAGATTTGGTCCATATTGACATGATAGCATCACAATTACTGCAGGTTTATCGGTTGCACATCCCAAATCCCCCCTTTCACCGCCTATTAGATTGAGATCTGGTGACTGTGAAGCCCATTTGAGTACAGTAAAACTCATTGTTATGTCTAAAAAACCAGTTTGAGATGATTTGAGCTTTGTGACATGGTGCGTAAGCTTGCCATCAGCCATCAGAGGATGTGGTCATGATCAGGAACAATACTCGGGTATGCTGTGGGTTTGAAACGATGTTCAGTTGGTACAAGGGGTCCAATATGTGCCCAGAAAATATCTCCCACCCCATCCTGCTTTTGCTTGATCAGTAAACATGGGATGAATCCAAGCTTTCATGTTGTTTACACTAAATTCTGACATTACCATCCAAATATTGCAGCAGAAATTGAGGCGTGGGAGCATTTTTTTTTTCAATCTTCTATTTTCCATTTTTGGTGAATGTGTGCAAATCACAGCCTCGGTTTCCTGATCTCAGTGGACAGGAGTTAGCACATGGTGTGGTCTTCTGCTTCCAGGATTGATGTGGTGTGCATTCAGAGATGCTCTTCTGCATGGCTTGGTTGTAACAAGTGGATATTTGAGATACTGTTGCCTTCCTATCAGGTTGAAGCAGAGAGATGATTGTGCAGAAAAATCGCTGTAAATCAGCAGTTTCTGAAATACTTAGATCAGCCCGTGTGGCACCAACAACCGTGTCACATTCAAACCGTGTCACTTAAGTCACATGATGCTGTTTGAACTTCGGCAAGTCATCTGGACAGGCCCGAATGCCCCGAGCTGCTGCCATGTGATTGGCTGATTAGATATATTCGTTAATGAGCGCAACTTCCTTCTTTCCATTAGGTGCAACTCATTTAGATAAACACAACTAACACAAAAAACTCGAACCTTAGTAAAAAGTAAAAAATTCAGTGGGATTACGGTCCAATGAATTTGGAGTCAGTTATTGGTTCTTGTGCACTGACTGCTCACGTATCAGTGGTTGCACCTTCAAAAGTCTGTTTTATGTGTTCTAGCCGAATAGCGTGAGATTGTTTTATCTATTCTCAGACTTATCAGACATCTCAGCTCAATTAAGTCTAATTACAGCACATTGGAAAATGCTTTTTCTCCACAGAGACGTGGAGTGTCATCAGAGGAAGAGGAAGGAGAAGTGGACAGTGAAGTGGAGTTGCCGAGGAGACGGTACTTAGTGCATTTTCATACCGCTGCTTGTTGTGTATCAATATCTGTATGTACTATCCTTTAGCCATGGTCACTAACATACTTGCGGATTTTCATTAAAATGCGTATTCTCATATTGCGTACCCTTTCAGGCGGCCTGTGAGCATCACCAAATGCCAGTCCCTGTCGACCTTTAGCTCAGAGAACCTATCGGTTTCGGACGGTGAGGAGGGCAACACTACTGACCACTCCCACAGCGGTACGCCCGACGTGGTCAGCACCAACACAGACGAGCGACTGGATGACAAGAGCGACGACCTGCTGTCTCAGGGCTCGGAGATTCCTGCTGACCCGTCTGACCCGACTCAGCTGGGCTCCGATGGTCTGTCTGAAAAAGAAGCCATTCTGCAACAAGTCAAGACGCAGCTCGCCTCAAATGACCCCAATTATGAGGTAAGGCAGAAAGAGTGAAATGTAGTATAGAGGTCTGATATCTGCCAGATACACAAACATCTTTTCTGGCAAGGAGATGATAAATTATCCTTCTATAATCTGTTCATTTTCTGACTCCTGATTTTCCTCCAAACCAGGGCCTGTATGATGACTCCGACTGTGACAGTGCAGAACTGGACCATTCGTGCACTGCAGACCCCAGTCAACCTCCAGCCAACTGGTGAAAACCGGGCACCTCTAACCCACTCCACCACCTGCAGACCTGGCCTCTCAATACCTCCTTCACTCTTAGAAACTCTGAGTCATTATCAGGGACATCGCAGAGAGGCAGGAAATTGAGCAATGTGTTCTTAACCACATATCCTGGTTAAGGAAACAAAAAAAAAAAAAAAGGAAAGTCGCATTTCCTTTGGAGATGAATGCAGCACGGCGATGTGACAGCACCTTTTGTTCTCTGAAATCGCATCAAATGACACCTCAGCGACACAAGCTTCGATCAAAGAGGCGACGTCTGCACCGTCTGTTGTCATGTTGTTTTCATGTCCTCCATCATAATTCATGTCCGTTTTTTATTTTTGTCCTAATGAAAATGATCATGAAACTATTTAAATGTCACGATCACTGGAGACGACCAGTGTCGCTCTTTTTACTTATAATTTATGAAATCTTCTGACTTGTCGTCTTTAAAAAAAAACAACAACTTATGCACTGTTTAATTTATTAGAAAGAAAACAATGTTTACATCTTTTTGTGCCGTTTACATTTTTATTTATAAATTGTGTCATAGATTACGTTTCCATTTTCTACTTCTGTTTTTAATATCGGTGTAAATATGGGATGTAAAATGAACAAATTTTTAAAATGTGAGATTGTATAATTTAAGGTGCTGATGTTTCTAATTAGGTGGAACTATTTTATTTGAAGCTCTCGGTAGTAGAATGTACTGTAGCTGCTGTTCATGTCCGAGCATCCAAACAGGAAAAGGAGGAACAAACATGTGAACAAGGAAAAGCAATATGTCTGCTCTGGTCTCACAGCCGGGTTCTTTTAGGACAGATGAGCTTTTTTAAAAATACTTATCGCACGTGTTTACTGTATTTAAAAATGCAAGGTCATTTTAAAACATATTCCCCCGTTTATAGCATTGAGAAAAAGCATGCGAGTGAAATAGTAGGGACACCTTACTGAAGTCAAACTGTGTCTCGGCTCTAACATGAGAACATCTGCAGAAATTTACACCCTCCAGTACCGAGTAACTGAAGGCACAAGAAACGCCAATACAGATCCTACAGCGTGGTAATTTTAGAAGCCGAAAATCATTTATGCAAAAACCCGTTTGTGTCCAGTAACTGATTCATCTCTGGCAGAAACATTACATCTCAACATTTATCTCTTTAAATGTGAACATTTTGGACCCAGACGTTGCCATTTTCATGCCTACTTAATTTGGCCAATTTTATTTATAGTCTACTCTCAACATAATCATCGGCCTCGCCGGCTGAAAACGTCGCCATCCAATGGTTATTTTTCACTCTTGTAAGGGCTGCGTCATAAACTGTGACACCTAAAACCCTTGTTTGTGTTTGTTCTCCTTGGCAAATGTCCTTAATGTGCGCCTGAATCTGACCGTACAACAGCACATCACGTTATTCCATGAATCCATGACTGATCAGGTCACACTCTATAAGCTAAAAATACAAAAAGGCAGCTTATTTTGTTCATCTTTGAAAAGAAAGAAAGAGACAGGTTATCTTTTGCAGTTTATATTTGTAGAAAGATTTTACAGATTGTGGCCCCCAAGGTTTGAAGCTAGAAATCCTCCTGCAGGATTAAAATGTTGCCAAAAAGCAAGACTACTGCCCTCTATTGTCCAATCGTGGAGGTACTCATGTTTCCCATGATGCTCACTGAAAGCAACCCTGTTAAATGTTGGCATTTTATACTGCATTATCGTAACTATATTTAAAAAAAAGAAAAAAAATGAAATGCCGTTAAAAATAAATTCAAACTTGTAAACCAAACGTGTGGTTTCACTCTCCTTTCACACGGTGACAAAACTCGCGAGAGGGTTTGTGGTTTAAGCATTTCACATCTTTATTTCTGTATTCTTTTTAAACAACGTGGCACCCAGATCTACAGTCTCAAAGGAAAAGAAATAAACGTGCACAAAAGTTTTTCCTTTCCTGCAAATAAAAAATAAATTCTTGAGCAGAGCAAAGAGCAGGAAACTAGTGTTAACGCACAACCTTTTCTACTTCCAGAGCATCAGTGATTTCACTTCTTAGCCTCATTACATTTAACAGATCAGTATCCAGGAGTTCACCCCCCCCCCCTCCCACCACCCTACTTTGGTAGTTAAGAAAAAAATATTTCCTCCATTTAAAACAAATATTCCAACTTTTAGTATATAATCAGTCTTTACAAAAAAAGCGAGGAGAACCCTCTGCTTCCAATCCCTAAAGCCGACCCCAAATCCCCAAAAAACAAAACAAAACCTCCCATCCCAGCAAAATATCAACACATGATCTCAGGACAGGAGCGGGAAGGTTTAGGAATGACATGTAAAAGGGAAGAAACGTGACATGCGGAGTCATACACACTTTAAATTATCTGGATAAATTCATCTGAGTGTTAGAACATTTACTAAATAACCAAATATAATTTGTGACGGTGCATGTACAGCTACGTGTTCTCGTCAGTGACACAAGTGCAATCCATGTTACAAGCACTTCAATTGAAACAGTGACAAAGGGGGAGAATGCTGTGTATATCTGAAGCAAGTAAGTACAGGTATTAAATGGACAAACTGACAGGTGGATCTCAGAGAGGGGAGGAGAAAAACAATTTTAAAAAACGGAGTGGGGCGTATATAAACACAGAATAAAACAGTCACTCTATTCTTATTTTTGATACTTTTTTATTTTTCCTTTTTTGTCTTTTCCTTTTTAAAGAGAAAAAAAAAAAAAAAAAAAAGCTGACTGTACAGAACTAAATCTATGTCTATTCAGAGTTTTTCCAACTCATGTCTCTGATGGCAAAGAAAGAAATGGAAGGAGCGAGATATCCATCAAGAAAAGAAAAATGCCTAAACAACAAATCATTAAAACCTCTGACTGGACTCCAAAAAGGGAATTTAAAACCTAATCATTTGCTTTGTATGACTAAAACCAAAACAAAGAAAATAAATAATGAACTCAGTGGATCAAATCAGTGGCGGCTGACATAATTTTTTTTTGCTTTTGGTTTTTTTTTTTTTTTAAATGAGGAAGAGGCAGTATAATATATAAACTCTTAACTTGGATAGTTGCATTGACTGCTTAATCATAGCCGATGATATAAAAGTGAGATTTAGTGCAGATGCAGTGTCTTATCAGTTGGCTGCCAGTCCAGTGGCCTCAGAGGAAAGCCTGGAGAAACAGACAGAGACACCCAGAGAGCAGGGAGGGAGAGAGTAAGGCATGCAATCAGACAGACAAGATAAACAACAATATCATTATGTACATTTATATATATATATATATATTACTATGATAAAATCATCTGGATTCATTTAGCAGGAAAATTATGATTATACGTAGAAAAACAAAAATTAGATGTTCAGTTTGAGCTCCTGCTGCCAGTGAGAGGGTCTCTTAACCAACAGCTGATCAAACTTACTGGTTTGCAAATGGAGCCGCATTAAAGAACTGGTCAAGAGTTGGATGAGATGATTCACTCTGGTGCCACTTGATACAGCCCTTCTAGGTTAAATGAAACTCTGCACAGCACAAAAACTGCAACCGAGAGGAAACCGCAAGCCTGACTCTCTGCAACCACCACATCACAGTGAAGAATATATGAAGGGCGCTATCTGAAAACTCAGATGCCCTCATAACCCAAGTTTCACAAGCCAAACAAACTCTGCACAGGCTGTGGATGCATGCAAATAGTCTCTATGAAGAGAAAGAGGAGGACTGCTTTTCCCTAAATGTAATGTAAACAGCCAATTCAACGTCAGGTCAACTCCAGGCCTTAACAGCTGGAGTCCTGCAGGTTTTAGATAACACCCTGAGTCAAATGATTAGTTCATTACCAGGCATTTGGAGAACTTCAAGAAATATTGAGGAGGAAATTTAGCCATTTAAATCAGCTGTGATGGATCAAGGACACATCTAAAACCTGCAGGGACACCGGCCCTCGAGGCCTGGAGTCGAAAATGCATCTGCACTTGTAAACAATTACAGGCACACAGAACTGGAAATGCTGAACCGGATAACTGTTATCTGCTATCTGGCCCATGTGGCTACAGCGGAAGCCCTGAATAATTTGCGGCTGCCCCTGAAGACCGAGTCTGCAGACTAGCCGACGAGATCAAAGCCTGCCTAATGCCTTATTGTTCTAAAACCCGAAGCTACTCGTTTACAGCTCTGTGTGACAAAGGAAAGCAGTGACACTTCACGTTATGAAGCTGAAGTCTTCTTTCGGATGCAATCGATCATCTGCCTCCATCTTACCCTATCCCTGGGATCCTCACCGAGCCTCTGCATGTCATCCTTCACTACATCCATGAATCCTCGTTGTAGTCTCCCTCTTTTATGGCAGCTCCATCTTCAACATCTCCAAACCATACATCGCAGCAGGCCTCACTACCGCCTTCTAACCCTTCTCTTTCACGCTTGCTGCTATTCTTTCATCACTCATCTCCACCCCGCCTGCACTCTCTTCTTCACCTCCCTCGTCTGTTGCTTTGGATGGATGACCCCGGGTATTTAAACTCATCTACCTTCACTACATGTCCGTCTTGCTTTTACCGACTTTCATTCCTCTTCTGCACAGTTCACACCTCCACCGAATCTGCCTACAGATCACAATATCGTCTGCAAATATCACAGCTATGGAACTAATATTTACATATTGGTGAATTTCCTTTCTTAAAAACCAGCTAATGAACTAGGCTGTTCATTTATGTAGAGTCGGACTTGTCATTTCTACCATGAGATAAAATAGTCTAAGGAACTCTTGGCTACAGAGTGTGCTTCATACAAGATTAATGAGAGGGCTAGGTCTTCTCATCCAACTCTTTGCAAGAAGGTGACCAGATATTCCCTAAAAGATCAAATTATTCCTTTCATGATTTGCTAAATCAGCTGCTTTAAGCTAAAGCAGATGGACGTTTTTGTATTTGTACCAACATGACAAAAGGATGATTTGGTGGCTTTGATACCTGAGGGTACTTTGAATTAATTTCTTACATAAGCAAAAATAATAATAATAAAGTCATCAAGATGCAATCCATTACAACAGCTAACAACAGTCACTTAAAATTCACTACAAGAAAACTTCTCATAAATACAATGTGACATCTTAAAGAGAGCCGCTACCTGAGCAGAGCTTACACAAAGAGAGAAATGCTTCAGTTAATCAGTGAAATAATTCCCTGTCCATGCTAAGTTCAAAGTTGTTCAAAAATATAATGCACTCAACATGTCATTTCTTTAGCAGACGAGTGAAGTCAAGCTACAGATTATCTATCTTAGAAATATGGCGTCGTCGACCATCTTTCTGGCTTTGTAACAATGGGCTGTTCGGTAGTAAGCGTGGCATGGCACAGCCAGATACAAAAGCAAGTGCAGGTACGGACAATAAGGAGCATTGTCGGTACTTCAGTAGTAGATGACTTATGTTTCCTCGGTTAGTAAGGGGAGAGCCTTCGCCTTTTAGACTTGGAGCCCAGCTCTGAGGCAATTTTGGGCTCAGTGGGAATTGGGTGTGCAGGGTTACTGGCCCCGCTGACAACATGGAGGGCCAGGAGAGGGAGGGGCTTGAGACTGAGGAGACTCGACACACAGGCAGGAGAGCTGGGGAGCAGGGAATCGGTGGAGGAGGTAGAGGAGGAGGAAGAGGAGGAGGGAGGAGGCGGCCCTGGAGCCAACAAGGACAGAGGAATGGAGGCTGTGGGGGGCACCACACAGGAGGAAGAGGAGGAGGAAGAAGAAGAGAAGGAGGAGGTAGCAGCAGAGGAGGTGGTGGTGGTAGTAGTAGTAGTGGTGGTAGTAGTAGTAGTAGTAGAGGTGGAGGGAGGGCACAGGCTGGTCTGTTCAGGGTTCAAGGAGGAGGAGGGAGGAGGTTTAGAGGACTCTACACTGTAGAAAGAGAGACAAGGAGAGAGGGACAACACAGTCGGGATGGGTCACAGGGCAGGCTGGTGAGCAATGGGTGGGGGGGATAGGGGCAGGAGGAGGGATGGGGGTAGGGTGTAGGGGGAAAATCACTCAGGGATGTGACCAAAACACGAGACAGAAAGCATCAGTTACAAATCAGCAAGGAAAAATAAATAACATATCTAGTGATGGATCAGTGTGGGAGGACAGAAAAAAGAAACCGACACAAGTGCAGACTGACAGAGAGCTAGCAAACACCACAGTGATGGTTAGGAGTTAAAAGAAAAGCCAGTAATCGCTACAATCAATCATCTGCACATAAATCCAAAGAGTAAGGGTGGATGCAGTCGAGCTATCTGTGTGACAAAGTAAATAAAGCTTTTCAGTAATTACTGCAGCTGTGCGGCATTAGTGGAGTGAAACGTGCTGAAAGATTACATTTAAACAGAAAATAATCTTTCAGGCACGCCCACGTGACCCGACTTTTACATCTAGCCCCTGCAATTTCAAGTAAACCACCCCGGTGCAGACAAATAAGTCGACTTAAGCTGAAACTAACCCCATGACTGAATCAATTACCCATCTAGAGTTAAAGTTCTTTTCTTTATTATCTCACCTGGCGTTGATGAGGTACTCCGCCAGACTAATGCTGGCAGGCGAGCCTGTGATGGTAACCTGGCGGTCGGTCGATCCATCCACTGGATTTGCAATCTTGATCTGGGCACCTGACATTTGCCTGATCTCGTTGATCTTGGCTCCCTGGCGGCCAATGATGCACCCAATAAGCTAGTGGAGGAAAAAAAAAAAAAAAAAGAGAGAGAGCGATACAGATGACTGATCGCTGCGATTATGCGTATGTGCGTCTAAGCAGGGCCTGCTCACTCTTAAACAGCATGACTAACAAGAAGAAAAATCCTCCACAGATGAAGCACTGGGCCCCACTAAAATTCTGTGGGATTTAAATCTGTAATAAATGCATGATTTAAATCAATGCAGGGGTAGCAAAAGATACAGAGTCATGTGAAAATAGTTTTCAAAGTACTCTTTGCAGTCCTGTTTTTGGGGGGGGGGGGGGGGGGGGACCCAGTACAACCGATGACTCAGTAGCTCACTGAACCACTTTTAGCAGCAGTAACCTGGAAGCAGTCGCTCTCTTTATGACTTCATCTGTGCCTTTTGGCCTGCTCTTTTTTACAACGTGGCTTCAGTTAATCAAAGTTTATGGCAATTCCTAAGTTTCTTAAGGTGCTGCCACAACAGATTGACATTAAACTCTGAGCCACTGCACACCAATTCTTTTCTTTTTCAGCCATTCTTGTTGTAGATTTACTGCCGTGCTTGTACGAAGCACATTTGGCCAAGCTTTATCCGTCAGACAGACGGCCTCAACATTTGACTCTAGAATACTTCGGTATTCACACGAGTTCATGGTAGACTCATGCTTGACACTTTGATTATCAGCTACTGGCTGCTCCTCAGCCTCTTAATTCCCATGGAAGCTGTAAGGGTGTTTTCACAGGAAAGCATAGAGTCCTGTGATATTCTCCTTGTTCACATGACTAAAAGTCCTAATTCTTAAACTTTGTGTCCAGGTGGTCAGGAGGTTTCTGGTACATCTAACATGAAATGTAGATTTCTAACCCACAGCAAGTGGGTGTCATATGCAAACCCTGCCTGAACTACCCAGGCAACTCCATCAGCCCTAACAACAGTAAAAATGAGCCTGAGCAGGACCATTTACTGCGGGTTGCTGCATTTGAGAAATGAAAAAAATAATAAAAATTTAAAGATAATGTGTGAAAAAGTCTTTCTAGTCTTCAGACACAACCAATGATGCTTCCACTGACCAACATGCAGTGTTATTTTTAATAGTGTTTGGGATGAAATTCACTTCCTGAAGGACTTACATCATTTGGAATGGTCATCTCATGGGAACTGGTTTGAGCAGAAGCATCCATCCCTGACAAAGAAAACATGAAAGTGCTTTAAACGAACCATAAAGAGAAGGTCCTTAAGATACATGAAGCATAAAGCAGGTAAAAATTGTAATTATGATCATTTTTAAGTCACCAAAATCAATTTGAAATGAACTCATTAGCTAATTATACTACGTTACTGACACAGTCAACTCACACTGACTCAAGATCGAAACGATTTGTTAAAAGGCAAAAAATTAAGATGTCTGATTAGAAAATAACAAAAGACCACACGGGGCTTTCCACACGTCAGCTGCTTTTCTGTAAACATGTGAGAAATGCCCTCAGTGTGTTCAGTGTGTCATCACAACCACCAGCAGCTGTCATTACATCTAGTTTAGCAGTACAGGATGTGTGAACGTGCGTTTTGTCACGTTCTGTGTTTGATCTGTAAACCTGGGAATTTTAAAGACTGAGCAGTTAAAATGTTGCATTCAAAGCCCGTGGGCGTTGCGGCGCTGCATACCAGTGAATCCCTGGTTGCTCGGTGCAATGGGGAACGGGCTCTGCTGCATAGCCAGCTGGTGAAGCTTGGTGAGCTGTGGAGAGATAGCAGCAGAGGAAGACTGTGAGAGTGAGAGAGAAGGCAGGGAGAGAGACGGAGGAAATGGAAAACACAGGAAGAGGAGGGGGGGAAAAAACAGAACGAGAATCACAATCAGTAAAGACAGATACACAAAGATTACAAGGAGATTTCACACAAATCACTTAATTTTGTGATGTGAGGACCTCTAATCCTTCATAGGTTTACTACATAGCTCACTGGTGTCTGACAATGTGAATTATGGCTTGTCTATGTAAGGTACCGCATAGGTATTCCTCCAAGGAGCAGGCTGCATGTCTTGGTAAAGCTTTCTCGCAGTCTTCAGGGTCAGGACAAAGTCACACTACACAAGGGACGAAGTTCCCAATATGCAGGTGATTTCCTAACCAGCAACAGTACACACCTGAACATAAACTGACAATCTTAGCATGACTCTGTACCAGCAGCACAGGAACTTCTAAGGAAGCCATTATGTGCGTATGAGCCAAAACTGCCAGAGTGAGCAATGACTAACTCATTATGTAATAATAATAATAATAATAATAATAATCAAGCATAATTAAACTGTATAAGTGTTACAAGTCTTTATTTTGTCTCTGGCTGGTACCTCCCTGCGCTGATGCCAATAGTCAGTGGCAGGTATGACTAATTATACACAGTCTATCACATCCAATGCTCCTGATGGAACTCATTAAAAAAGAAAGAGAAAGATTAATTGAATCAAGCGACAAGTGGCCATTGTAGAAAGTAATTATGAAGGGGGAGAAAGGAGAGAACAGTACGTTTATCTAGGACAGATTAATGAAGCAGACATGTGAAACAAGACAGCACAAAAGGGAAAAGACAGAAAAGTGAGCAGCAGGAACAGTTTACAATTCATGGAACAGTGGAGAGTCTGGACCAACAAACGTCTGTCTAAAGAACAACTAATCACCAGTGAATGTATGAACTACATAGAATAACACTAACAATAGTATGTCAGCGTAAGGTAAAATAAAAAACAGGGGCAGGTTCAGCTACAATTACAGGCTGTAAAATGTGGTGGGGGCGGGTGGGCAGCTGTACATATTGTAATTATGGGTGGGGGTGGGGGGGGGTCATATAAAAATATCTACTGCACTTACATCTGGCTGTGGAATTGCGTGCTGTCCTTGTACGGCATATGCCTGAAACAAATGAAAACAAAGCTTTCATAGGCCTCACATCTGATTTTGTTGGGCAGCTCATTTCTCCAGCAACAACACTCTTGGTAAACAAATCTCTCTCAAAACACATCAAAGCCTCGTTTGCGGCCTGAAAAGCCAACAGAACCTTTCATCGTCTAGCGTCACCAAACCCAATCTGGGAACTTGTCACAGAGTCTGCTGTGGGAAAGAGCCAATTTTCTGGGCCTTCTGCTAAATGCAATCCTCCTTTTTCAGTCCACACAGACTGTTCCTGCTCACAACTGAATGTGAAACAAATCATGAACATTCATTTCCAGATATCCATCTAGAGATGGAACTAAATATAACTACTGCAGTCACACTTTGACGACAGGAAGGTTAATTAGCTCATCAATATCTCTTCCCCATCATAAAGTCGCAGTTACTAACAACACGCATGAATCAGTGTGTTGGTTAGGCATGTTACATGTTATGGTAGGACAATTATGACCCAGTACTACTCAGCCAGCAGGTTTTGGGAATGAGTACAGAATAAATATTAGGAAAAAACAGAAAGAAGAAGAATTCAAAAAAGGAGGCTTTGCAAATCTCCTAACAGGTCGATAAGTAAACCTAGAAGATTTAATGTGTTCTGTTTCAAGATTTTTTATCATCAAACAAGACCTAAAAACCAAGCTATAAGATTGCTTGCATTAAGTCAGGGAAAGCCAAAGGGATAATATTAAAATAAGTATCAAAGTGATCAAAATAGATTCCTTGTCCAAAGTCTCCACATTTCTAGGAAAAAAGGAAATATTTAGAGGCGTTACAGGAGAATTACAGAAAATCAAAGGAGAGATTTTTTTTTATCAAAAGAAATTTAAAAAAAAAAAAAAAAAAAAAAAAGTGTTTAGAAGGATAAAAAGAGCTTTAATGTTAGGCCAACAAGCACCAGAAAGCATTTTGGTTCAGACCAACATTAGTAGGAAATAGACCACCTCACTTCTGAAACCTGATGCTCAAAACAATGAAAAGCTCCATGGAAATGGGAGGAAATTCAAGGCTCTGAAACAAAAATCTTTTATTCTAGGTCTGCTGTGTATGGCTTTAAAAAAAAAAAAAGAAAGAAAGAAAAAAAAATTAAAATTAGCAGATACCGTTGTCTAACCTAAATCCATCCGAGCTGCTCTTTTACCTGCTTTCATGATCTTTCCCCTTTCATCTTCTTCTGACTTAAGTATGTTTTCATCACAAATCAGGTTTTCCAAGTATGTAACAAAATCCATAGTCAAATATCTCACACACACACAAAAAACCCAAACTCTGGCATCTACTGATTCCCTCCAAAGTATCGCATGTACCTGTCCGCCTGCAAAGATGACGGGTGATCCTGAAGGCTTGGGTCTGTAGGGGATAGTGACCCCCTTAGGGGGAGACTGTACAAAAGACAAAGGATCTGTTAATACACTGATATCCATTTTATCATAATGTTTTACATCTGTTTATATAATCATTAATACAGATTAAACACAGCTGCAGTGTAACAGTATCTGTGTTTTTATATATACAATAATATCAGCTCAAACCATAAACTCTTGTCTGAGCCTAATAAACAGCAGCTGAAAAGCCGAGAGATCATATATCTGAAACGACGACGAACAGCCACTTCATCTGCTTCACTGCTTACCTCAAGCATTACCACACAGATCTGCTTGACGCACTCAATTATCGACTGGGGAGTGCCAGCAATGGTGATGGCACGCTCCGTGGAGTTGGGGAGCATGTCTCCAGCCACTTGTACCTGAGCACCGGTTGACTGAAATACACAAATGAAAGAAAGTGAGATGCAGAGACAAGTGTTGCCTTATAACCTAAAGCAGAAAGGTGACAGTTGGCTGAGGTTGAAGAGAACACAGTTTTTGTAGTGCACACCTCTCGAATTTCCTTGATCTTGCATCCACCTTTTCCAATAAGCGAACCACACTGGCTGGCAGGCACCACAATGCGTAGGGTGACCGGGGGCTTGCTGGTAGCTGTGCTGTTTGTCATCGAGCTGCTGATATCCTGATCAACAAAAAAACAAAACATTTGGGTTCATTCACATTCTGACTGGACTAGTCGTCGCTTTCTTCCTCTCTGAGGTCAGGAAAAAATGGAATCTACCTCTTCCAACTTTTCAATGATCATGGAGAATGCTTTAAATATGGCAGTGGTTGGACCTGCCAATGTAATGATCCTCTCAGGACAATTGCCCTCTGAGATGTTGATGCGAGCTCCGCTCTACAAAGAAAAGTAAAGAATAAAATGAGTGATCTGGAGCCTTTTGTAGCCTGTTAGTAAGTATAACTTTACATATTACTGTTTGCTACTATATACAAAAAAAGAAGCTGTGTGTAAAACACCTCACCTCTTCTCTCATCTTCTTCACAGATTCACCTTTCTATTTGGAGACAATAAAGACAAATTTAGTATAACTTAAAAACAGATCTTCGATGACTGAAAATGAAAATTGTTCATTTAAACAGCATCTTACCTTCCCAATAATGCTTCCAACTTCCTAAAAAAGGAAAGATCACATGTTATTAGCTTGAATTTGCCTTTTATTACCAGAGTTTCAAAGCTCCCAAGACACGGTCTGCTTAGCTTATAGGGAATTAAAAATAAATAAATTTAGAGACACAAAAAGTTATTACTTTCATTCCTTTATTAAATCCTCAGTTGTCACAGTCATTAAATAACGATGGATTTTTCATTAATCTCCTGCTGATCATTAAAACTCCTTCATCTAATCGTCTTTAGAACATTTGGCCTGATCCATCATGAACATCCACATTTGTATGTCCGGTCTGTCTCCACATACTCAACAAATGAGATCCAGGAGGCAAACTAGCACACAGCATCTGTGGGTTTCTTACACTTCTCCAGGCTGCGGTAAGATGCTACAAGTTAAGGAGCCGACTGCGAGTTGGCCCCATGCAGAGCATAGGCGCAGCTTTGCAGACCATCATCTACATGTTGTAGGCGTTTACTGTCACCAGGTGGCAATGTTAAAAATATTTGGAACAACCGGCCTGCGGGCTATTCTTGTGTCTGCTGTCGTTGGGTTTTTTCAGCCTGCAGGAGAAGACCCAAGTCAGAACATAACACGTTCAACCTACGCATATCATCACAACCATCCCGCTACATGCTGCTGGTTTTTCAAGGACTGCAAGCAAGCATGTCTGCATAGGCATATCCATAATCCTTCGCTTTGCCAAGCCAAATACCAATGCAAACACACACAAATGTGGTAGCATAAAGTTTTTGGAAAATCTTTTTGTCTTCCTTGTTGACATGACATACCAACATTTTAAACCACCATTTAAAAACTAAATAAATTAAAAAAAACAACAACAAACAAACAGGCTACTCTGGGACCCAAGAGATGCCACGTGTGGCTTTTGCACTGTCATAAAGCCAGATCGATTAGTGAAATTAGCATATTCTGTTTACCGATTTTAGATTTTAATACATTGGACAGTGATTCCATGAATATATTTGTGTAATATCATTTCAGCAAACACTTAAACGGGAGATTTTAAAGGTATAAACTAAAGCTGAGTCATAAGTGAAAACACTTATTTTGGTATGCAGGATTGTAACACTGAGGCAATATCCCTAGTCATCCTACTAATGTCCCTGCCTTCAGTATATCTCAGGGGGAGGCTTAATTTTCATAAATAAAACGTCATACACTATCAAATGCAGACACAAGCTGTCAATGGATGACCTCACCTTCCCATGCATGAGCAGCCTAATGGTAAGGGTGACATTGAGCCCGCCTTCAATCACACCGGAGTCCATGACTGCAACTGCAGGTCAGTACAGAACTGAGGTCTTTGGTCACTGAGATGGATCTAAGGAACACAGAAAAATATGCACACATTAAACTAGAAATATGGTGTAGAGTGAGCCGCCATTCATTAAATGAGACAAATATAATCTAAAATACTGTTCCAAGATGCTGGTAAATAAGCACACCAAGTATTTCGCTATTGAATGTTGAAGGCCCGTAGATCCCATTCACCCATCTTACTAAGCAATTATCTTACTAATTATACCAACTCACAACATTAAATTTTGAAATTGAAATTTCACGAATCTGTTGGCTGAATGAATACGGCCTGATAAAACAGTTCCAAACATATTGTGTTTGTGTGACATTTAAAAAAAGACTAATTCCACTTCGTGACTTTAGAGGATTCGAAAAAATAGTCCACAATAAATTTGGGAGATAGCATATGCTAACCTTAATGCTTATGAATACTGATGCGTACTAAGATGAATCAGACAAATATGGCCAAGGACTTTTACTAGATTCTCCAGGGTAGGTGAATTTACTTCCAACTATCTGAATGCTGCTTATGTGACTCTAAACAGGGGCTGGAAAGGCCTCGATGTTAACTAAAACACATATAGCTTATACGCTAACGATGCCTTAATCATTAGCTATGCAAGTTTATCAACAAACATGCGGACACGCTCGTCACGAACCGGACCTAAATTTCATAAAACACGCACACAACAATTTTCCGTGTAAAAAACAAGACATTTAGTGGCACACTTTGGCCGTGTTGTTTTAGTTAAACTCAAATCATTTAACTATTAAAAACTAGTTGTGAACCTGTTAGCCACTTAGCATTGTGGTCGAGCTGGAAAAATGAATGGAGCATGCGTGCGTTACTTAGCTAGCTAGTTAGCTAGCTTAATTTGTCAACGTTACAAAACAGCTGGCTAGTTATCGGTGGTCTTCATAGCGAGGTAGATTGGTCCAGTTTTAATCAAGTGTAGGCGATAAAGATGATAAAACATGCCCATAAAGGAGACATTAAAATAAAACTTCCCCCTTGGCTAGCCAAGCTATTGAGCTCAGTCAGCACGGAGACTGCGTGCTCATCATCACGCGGCCTGTTAGCACGCAGAGCGAACCGCGGCTAACTGCTGGGCGCGATTTCTTTCCGCGACTTCTGATCATAATAACAAATATAAAAAGAGCAAACAGCGAAATCAAACTCACCTGACTCGTGCGCTGATAGGTGATCGGGGGGAGGGTTGGGGTTGTAAGGGTAGAAGGGGAGAGGTTCGGGAGGGTAGAAACCCGGGGGAGAGTTTAGAAAGGACTCGGGGAAGAGGGAAGAGTGATGTGAGATCGAGCTCCACTCCTTTAAACAAAGACAACAAAATTGTGACCTCTGAACTTTTCCCTTTCACCCATCACAAACCCCGACTCCTCCCCGAGTCTGACCTATTTTTTTCGTAAAGCACGCCCCAATAAAATGTGGGACAGTTTGCGACAACATGGCAGGTTATTTGAAAGGACATAATTTTAAAAAAATAAATAAATAAGAGTTATGCAATACAGTGCACTGCTAAATTCGTTTTGAAAACGAAAAGCCAGTTGATGGGAATAACAGACTGTCTACGTGTTTTATCTGTTTATATAAATTAACAGAAAAAGTTTTAAGATATCTTTCAGATTTCTTCCAGTTTCTAATATATTCAGATTTTATAGCTGAATAAAATACTTTTTAAGGAGCCGCTAGAGGGCGTAATATTCCTTACTCTCCTCTTCTTCGGCTGCTCCCTTTAGGGGTCGCTACAGAAGATCATCTGCCTCCATCTCTCTCTATCCCTAGCATCCTCCTCTGCATGTCCTCCTTGACTGCATCTATCAATCTTCTGTGTGATCTTCCCTCTGCGTGGCAACTCCATATTCAGTATCCTTTATTCAATATATCCACTCTTCCTCCTCTGCACCATATCAGCCTTGCCTCTCTGACTTTTTCTCCAAACTGCTTAAACTCAGCTGTCCCTCTGATACACTCGTCTAATCCTGTCCCATTTTGGTTAAATCCCAGTGAAAACCTTCAGAGCATCTTCAACTCTGCCTCCTCTCTACCAAAAATCATAGCAGTAAACCCTTGAAACCTTTCTATTTGCCCTTGCTGTTATCCTTCTGGGACAAATCATCCCTGATTGGTCTCCACCCTCCCTACACTCTCTTCTTCACTCTGGATGGTTGACACCAGGTATTTAAATTCTTGTATCTTCTCTATTAAATCTGTCTCCTTAGTGAGCATAACATTTATTACAATTTCTTTAAAAAAAAAAAAATCTAGATCTTTCCGAGCAATGTCAAACACACCATAGACTTTTTATGTAACTTCATTTATTAATACAATTTATTTATTTAACTTTAAAATGAACGATATTAACAAGCAACAGGTTTTTTCTGCAGCCATGCACAGTAGTGATCATAAAATTAAAAAAAAATATATACCTTTAATTAACTATATTTTCTATATCCCTTTTAACTTAATTACATTAAGAAAATCATCTGCACAGTGCTGCAGTCTCTTTTTCAGTTATCTACATGTTTGTCATTGTAATATTAGAGAATAGTAACAGTAGATAAATTGCAACATTTCACCTAAAAACCACAAACCAAAGTAAAATTCAACATGAGGTGGAATCCCAGTGCCGATTAAAGTTGTGACAGTAACACACACACAAAAAAAAGAGCTGCTGTATGCATTTCTAGTGTCATACATTTATACTGAACATGTGAGATTTGCTGCGACTCAGCAAAAATCTGCAAAAGGCTATAAGAACTGCTTTAATGCATTGACAGTTAACTGTTAGTAGTTAATAGTTGCGCTGTGCTGTTGTTACACAGCTTTTTTTGTGAAAGCCATGCTTCAAACCAGTCGCCTCAGTCTGAGTCGCTGCTGCTGCTGCTGCTGGAGGACTGTGAAGACAGAAACAGGAAATTATACATCTGTTAATCGTTTTAAAACAGTTAAAATATAGATTTTAAATCATAAAAAATGCCTGATCTGCTTAAGCAATCTTCAACAGTGAACAAAGAAACACACGGTTTTAAAAGTCACCACCAACTGTTTGCTCTTTTCACTCAAAACTTAAAAATTAAACCATAAACTCTGACATTCTAAATTTAAACCCAGTCTCACCTTGCCATGTTTGTAGTGCTTATGTTTGTGTGCCTTTTTCATCTTCTTGTGCATCTTTTTGTTTGCTTTGTGCCCAACTAGCCCCATTCCCATTCCTGCAACTCCCCCGGCTAAGGCTCCAGACATGGGATTTAGCCCTCCATGATGAGGATGACAACCTTTGTGTTTGCCGCCTTTTGGGGAGTGTGGATATGGACCTGGGTGAACACCTGCAGGAGGAACAACTGGATATCCACCTGGAGCCATAGGATAAGGGTGAAGTCCAGGAGCTCCATAAGGCATTGCCCCTGGTGCACCGTATGGTCCCATGGCTGGATTCATAGGAGCTGGGAACTGGCCAGCAGAATATGGAGGTGGAGGCTGGGGGAATGCTCCTGGAGGAGGGGCAGCAGGATAAGCAGGATTGTAGCCAGGAGGAAAGGCAGGATTTGGTGGGCCGACTGGAGGAGGAGGACCTGATACAAGTAAAAGCACACATCCATCTTACACACTGTATGCTTCAAACTCCTAAGCTATTAAGCAATTATAGACACACATAAAACATCATAATTAAATGGTAATCATGTTTGATGTCCTACCTTGATTTGGCCACATGGTTATACACACACTGACCTAACAGAAAAATCCTAGAGGAAAGACAAAGGAAATGCAGTTTAAAAATATTGGATTAAATTAAAATAACACTTAAATATATCACTCGGTATATCTTGATTGAATTCGTGATTCTACCCAAATTAAACAAACAGCAGTTAACATTTAACAGCTTCTTCATTTTTCCAGATCAAAACCAGATATTCACTTTACAAAGACAGAACAAAAGGGGAAAGCAGTCGGTGTTTACCCTCAACAACAATGAGAAATATCTGGTGGGTTTTTTTTTTTTTTTTTGGTTGGTTGTTGACAAAGAGACATCAGAGCCAGAGGCAGTTACTCACCTGATCACCTCTAGCTGTCACGGTTTCTCATTTCACAATTTGTGTTTGGTGTACACACGGATGCACAAAGTAAGCCATTTAATGCGAACACCTAAATAAAACTAAACCAAAGTAAACCCCTTCAATTGATCCTCCCTTTATGAAGGTCTTAATATCTGTCGTCTGTTTGTTTTTAAGTGTTTACCGTGGAAACTGTTACATTTTGTAGCACTTGTCAGTATAGAACAAGGCTCATCGCTGCTATAAACCTCAATACAACACACAACAAAGGCTTAAATGCCACATGTATACTCTTACAGAAGATGATCTGACAAAACATGAAGTCATAATTGCTCAACAGCTTGTAAATCCGCAACACTTTCTCCATGTTTCTCCACACAGCAAGTTCAGCACACTCAGTCAGTCGTTATTGTGAGTTTTAGCTGTTTGTCCCACACGTGTCACTTATAATAACTGCATCAAAATCTAAAGATTTCACAGGTTTTACCTTTGGAACTTACCTCGATTGCAGTGAAGTTTCAGGAATTCCGAAAGAGCAGTTTCGTGTTTGTCTTCCGCATCCAGCTCCCGGAAGGCTAAAGAAGCACATCAGGAAGCCACGCCCTTTGGGAGGGACCCTGCGCATTTTGTTTACGCAATGGCAATGGCCCATCACACATGGGAACATGGCTAAAACAGAAAACAATCTGAGTGATCTTTTTTTAATGGGTGGAGTCAGGAGTTAAGGTGTGTGTCGTGACACACACACACGCCTGACTTGACAGTTATTTTCACCTGTGACTCATGCCAACACATAAAACCCATGACATCATGGATCAGCACTTGGAAATTGTTCAACAATACACAGATTTCAAAAGGGTTCATACAATCTGTTTACAGCAGACACGATGGCCGCACTGAATTACATAGTTTAGTTTTAATGTCCAAGAACTGAGTTTTTTATGCTTGTTGTCTCCAATGACATCAACACAGACTCTGTGCAATTCATAAAAGTTTCACAATTAGCTAAAGCACATTGTAAGAAATAAACTATAAAACTGACGCTACATTAAATTAATCCATAAATAATGTGATTAGTTATTTGCTATAATCAGTGTAATATTTCAAATTATGATACTTCAAAAGGCCTTTTGCGCATTGGTATGACCTGGGTTGTGTCACTGGAATACCTGAGTAAATATTCAAACATATTACATACATCCAGTTTTTTCAGTACGTGGAGGATCTCTTGACGATGAGTACAGGTTCATAATTTAAAGCCACCTGCAGATGGAGAGATTTGAGCATAACTGTAAATGTAAAATGGTACCTTTTTTTAAAGTTATGCTGTACATAAATAAAGCTATCACAGAGGTGGCCACAGAGTCAGCTGATCATTCATTACTCAATCCAAGTGAGATGAGCTTCAGGGCATGATGGCTGGATATTGTCCTTCAGGATTAAGGAAGATAAACATCCTTCCACACCTTTCATGGCCTCCATGGAGGTCTTACTGGTGTTTCACTGCTAATCAGCCACAAAATGCAGTTTGGAGAATGTAGGAAAAGAAAAATATCTAGTCTAACTGCATTATTCACCACATGAACGTGAAATCAAAATAATTTTAGCTACCATTTTGTTATCACAAACAGCAGCAAGCGGGATGAAGCTCTTCGTTTCTGGGGTCGGTTTCCTCAAACTGTAGTTTTCCTGGCTCAAACGTCATGTTTTTGTTAACATACAATAAAGAAAAAAGCGAAAAGCTTAATTTTAGAGAAAAAAAAGGTCATATAATAACGTCAGCAAATTCGTGCTAATTTAACCCTCAAAATCACAATAATCTATTTTATTTTCGGGCAGCTTTGAAATCAGCGGGCAATTAAAACGAGTAATTGAAGGTGTGTTTGCAGGTGTGCGGGAGCCTAGCTAAAACTCACAGGCTAGCAGGGTGCTATCCACAGTCCAGGTTAGGCACACACACACAAGAGGCGGCAGAGAGGCCAATAAAGTAGCATTTGGTTACCTGTTTGTTCAGATAAACGTGTCCTACACCGGTTTTGAGGCTAATTTTGGTGATTTTTCTGTCTTTGGGGCACGGTTTTAAGGATGAATTCGCTAACAGCGGAGCTTGCTGATGTTTTTTTGGAGGACTCTGAAAATGATGTGACATTTCACGGCTTTTCCGACACTGAACTCAAAGATGAGGTAGGATTTTGTTTGGTTTTAGACCTTTAAACCTTCATATATACTGGGGTGACCAGAAAGCCAAGTACTAACTTGGAGTGGTTGTTTATGTGGGACACATTAGGCTGAGAGGTGGCTTAAATTGTTTATATACTACATTTAAAAAGAAAAAAGCACCAACTCTACAAGCTAATGTGTTTTATTTGAAGACGATTTTTACCACT